ACCATCTTGTTGCAAAAAGACATGTGGCTGAAGCTCTTCTAGTTGTGGAAATACGAAGTTTTCCAACATGTCTAAGTATACGACTGATGAGACCGTCTTTTCTGTAAAAAAGAAAAGCCCAATGACTCGGTCGTGCATTAGTCCACACCACACGTTAACCTTTGGTGAATCCCTTTGTGTCTCACGGTATTCATGGGGATTTTCAGATCCCCATATGCGCACATTATGGCGATTAACAATGCCAGAAACATGAAAGGATGCTTCGTCGGAGAACATTATGCGTTTCAGAAAATCAGCAGAATCTTCGATCCTTCCTACCATATCTGTAGCAAACGCCATCCTCCTAGGCTTATCGTCCGGTTCCACACCTTGAACAATTTGAATTTTGTATGCATGCAGTCTTAATTGTTTCTTAATAACCTTGTACACCGTCGAAATTGGCATATCCAATTCTCTTGCCGCTGATCTCACAGATCTTCTAGGATTGTCTAAAAATGTCTGTCTGACACGCTCAACGTCAAAATCACTTGTGCAGGGACGTCCGGAACGTTTCTTATCTGCAATACTTCCAGTTTCTAGAAAATTCTTTTTTCACCGCAACATGCTGCTTTTGGATTTGGGATCTTTTTGGTAAATTCCTTTGCAATTTCTCTGTGCATGCACTATCGATTTCGTTTCTATGAACCACCATAAAATCTGTGGTTTCTCCTGTGGTGTATGCATTCTCCTTAATATCCGCTCGAATAAAACATCACATAGAAAAGTACTACATAGAACAAACACATCAAAAGTAAACATAACATTGCAATAGTTGTCAAAACAAAAGAGAGAACAATGCAATTAATAAGCAGACAATATTTAGAAAAGTACAAGTATTTAGACTGGAAAATGAAATTATCTGAAATTAACCACACGCGCAGACGATATTTACAAAAGTAAAGATATTCAAACCTGAAAAGGAAAATATATGAGTTATTGCATCAATAAATGCCATAAGTTTGTTTATATCTTCATTATTTTATGAGTTATTAAACATCAAAATGGGTTCGGAAATTTATAAACACACCTGTATACTGAAGAAAAAAATGACTTACATCTTGGTATCCCCAATGTTTATCCGCTAGATGTCTGGAAAGTATAGGGCTTCTACTAGCACCAACTTTTAAATATCTCCGAATTCGAACAGGAAAATCTGGATCACGTAAAGGCAACAAAAACGTGTCTGGACCATTTTGGTAGCTAAAAGAAAGTACTATGATTGAGGCGAAAGACTGAAGTAAGAAAAGTAAATAGTGAAAATCCTTTTCCATATGTTTAACGATTTACCTGCTGCTAAATTTTTTAACAGTAAGAAAAGCACGTTTAAGTTAAAAGTTGCAGAATCTTTGTAATTAAACTACGTGAATATTTTATTCATCGAAGACAATGAAATAATTAGGTTACCAGTCTTTATCTTTTTGAAAAAGGCACATGCTCATTGATGCCAACTTGCTCCGGACAGCAAATATATATTTTAAAGTGGTAGTTTATCAATTGTGATTCTTGGTTTAATAAATTCAATTTAGTAGGTTTTTATACACCACTATTTCTAAATAATTCGTAGGTTTATATTATTCACCACTTTATGGTACTTATGTCATGTTATACCTTTTAAAACACAAGCAAAAAGAGTCAAATATTTGCGAAATTTACTTTGTAGTTATTTACCGTTTTTTAAATTATTTTGGCGTGTCCGGAGCAGTTGGCATCTCTGCATGCTTCCTAAATAAAAAAAAGGCATTTAAGCGGCAAAGAGTAGCAGAGATGCTAACTGCTACGGATTGAACGAAATATTTTATAAAATAACGGTAGTGAACTACAAACAAAAATTTGCAGATTTTCGGTTAATTTTTCCAATTTTTTATAAAGGCCCAACATGGATTTAGTGTAGCAAAATGGCGTATTGCATAAGTCTTCGAATTATTTAGAAGTAGTGGTGAGTAAAAAACCCTCTAAATCGATATTATTAAACCAAGAATCATCCAATATAAACTACCACCCAAAAATATTTATCCGCTGTCCGGAGCAATTGGCATCTCTGGCATTGAAGAGTGTCTTAAATGAGATCAATTTGTTTACTTTGAGGAATCTAACTGTATTTGTTTTTAGAGTTTTATTGATTCTCAGGTGGCAAACTTGATCCTTGATTTTGCCTATGATAACTGAAAGCCATTCTGATTACATCTATAGTCGACAGCAATGTCAGCTGATTTCTGTGATTTTGAAAAAATATTTTTGCATGACCTCTGCAGAAGAGCAATGTGAAGCACGTTGTTCTTCTGTCGAGTGAAGTTTGTGCTTTACAATCGAAAAAATTTATTGACTTAAACACATAAAAATAATATAAATTCAAAACTGTATTGTTTATGAGAAATTTTATTAAGAGCCTTTGTCACGGAATGTTGACAATCTTTTCGGGAGAATTTTACTGCCATCCCCCTCCGAAAGAAGGTCTCGCTCATGTTTCAATAGTTACTATATTGTTTTTGATAATAGTTAATGATTGTTTTTTTTTAAAATTTGATATTACTTTTCTCAGAAGATCTGAATATTTGAGAGACCACGTCTGTCTATGGATTTGATATAATCTAACCATGTTTTATAGACTGAGGGTCATTATTTGTTTTTTAGCTATTGTTTATAATTCTTTTTCGAGTTTTTATTGAAAAAAGCCAGATTCATAAGAATATTAATTTGAAATAAAAAATATTTTTGAGTTTGTAACACTTACTGGCTTTCGGATCTAGGATCGATTGCTTCTCTTTCGATTCTTTGTCGGTAAGTGATGTCATCAAAAGCTGCAGGTTTAATTCGACTTCTGTCGAGTTCGCTGTCAGGTGTAGATGGCGGTGTATATGACTCGTCTGGTGGATAGATCATACGGCTTGGATGTGTAAAGCAGGATTCCAAAGTTCGTCGACGAAAGAACCAACGGCATGCAGCGTTTGAATACTGTATGTAATATATTAATTATAATTATGCTGTTTATTACCTTTTATAAGACACATCTATCAAAAATTAAGCTCCATTATGAAAATGATTATATAAATACAAAATTTTGAATATATGATATAAAGAATGCGTAATTTAACATCTTCGTGACAGGTGAGTCATACATGCATTCTCATGGTGGCAACAATGAAGGAATAAAAGATAAAACTGGTATCCAAACTATTCTTTAGTAGATTATTTGTGGACGGGTTAATAAAAGTTAGTTAAATTTATTTAATTCACAAGTACTTAATTCAAAATAAAAATTATACAGGGTGTTTACAAAACTCTTCATTATTAGGAAGTTGATAAATTCTTACCCATGATCTTCATTTTACCAAAATTATTTTTGTGAAAATACAAAAATCGTTTTTTTGTNAATATTTGAGAGACCACGTCTGTCTATGGATTTGATATAATCTAACCATGTTTTATAGACTGAGGGTCATTATTTGTTTTTTAGCTATTGTTTATAATTCTTTTTCGAGTTTTTATTGAAAAAAGCCAGATTCATAAGAATATTAATTTGAAATAAAAAATATTTTTGAGTTTGTAACACTTACTGGCTTTCGGATCTAGGATCGATTGCTTCTCTTTCGATTCTTTGTCGGTAAGTGATGTCATCAAAAGCTGCAGGTTTAATTCGACTTCTGTCGAGTTCGCTGTCAGGTGTAGATGGTGGTGTATAAGACTCGTCCGGTGGATAGATCATGCGGCTTGGATGTGTAAAGCAGGATTCCAAAGTTCGTCGACGGAAGAACCAACGGCATGCAGCGTTTGAATACTGTATGTAATATATTAATTATAATTATGCTGTTTATTACCTTTTATAAAACACATCTATCAAAAATTAAACTCTATCATGAAAATGATTGTACACTATCTACCAATATTTGGACACCTATGCAAATGACTATATCTGCGGTCCTGAGATAGGTCACGCCCTCCGCCGGTATACATCGTGTAGGGAACAACATCGGCATTAGTCCCATGCAAGATGCCTAATGCACTATTTTGGATGACAATGTGCTTCCTACGTTGTGGCAGTTTTACGGGGTGGACCCATGTTACTTCCAGGACGACCATGCCAGCTGTCATGTTGCGAGGGTCACCAAGGCTTGGTATGGTGCCAATGGGGTTAATCGAATGGACTGGCCTGCCCAGATCCCAGACCTGAACCCTATCAAGAATCTCTGGGACAAGTTGGATCCCCCAATTAAGGAGTGTACTACCCGTGCAAAATCGGTGAAGGAACTTACATGTCATCTCCAAGCCGAGTGGAAGAAAATACCACTAGCCGTCACACAAGGACTTGTGGAAAGTATGCCCCGGAGGGTTCACGCTGTAATTGCCTCTCGTGGAGGCTCTACCAACTATTGATTATGAATAAAGTTTGTTTTGCTTTTCAATCACACGTGTCCAAATACCTATTGGTAGATAGTGTATAAATACAAAATTTTGAACATATGACATAAAGAATGCGTAATTTAACATCTTCGTGACGGGTGAGTCATACATGCATTCTCAGGGTGGCAACAAAGGTATAAAAGATAAAACTGGAAGCCAAACTATTCTTTAGTAGATTATTTATGGGCAGGTTAATAATAGTTGGCTAAATTCATTTAAATCACCATTACTTAATTCAAAATAAAAATTATATAGTTACACTTTGTACTAACATGTTTAATTCCTGTTAAAATCTAAGTAAAAGCAAAAATAAGTCCATCAAATTAGCCACGCCGCATTTAACACGTTCACGCCGGGAAAAGTGAAAATACTGGTAGAAGAACTATTTCAATATTAGATAATATTCGGGAGGAGTTAATCTATTCTCAACAATAACAATTCACTGTAAGGAAAATTATCACTGCGAAGAAGCAATTCAATATAAAAATTGCATCCGTTAAAAACAATTGGTATTTATGGATTTTTATTATTCCCGGAAAAAAACTAAAAAATGAAATTTATTGTGACCAGTTTTTACTCCAATCTTAATCTACACCTTACAACTACATTTTCAAATATTTCATAAGCCTTGTGAAAATATTTCAAACAGTTTAAAAGTGTTTTCATGTAGAAAAGATTGCGTTTCCATTTATTTTTTCGAAATGAAACTAATCTATTTGAGAGCTAAAACAAAATTATAAGGCGAAACTTACAGTTAATTTTTGGTTCAATTGATATCTCTAAATTTACTAACGCATAAATATCACACTATTCGGCCACTGGTACGTTTTCTGGTTTTTGAATCTTGATATTTGAACTTAAATTCCTATACCTTAAATATGAAACATGGTAAAGGAGTTTCCAATATTTATTATAGACATTTATTTTCAGATTATTTTTGTGTCGACAATTGGTGTCAAAAAAATTATGTGACCAATATAAGAAACTATTTACTTAGAAAAGTTGTTTTATTCAAATTTTCATAAATCCAAAATGGCATCATAGAAGCATTTTTATAATATCAAAAATGATTTTGGGACATTAATGACACTTTTTGAGTTGTGTAGGTTGTTTTTCTTGATGGTAGGACCTAGAAATAAGACGAGAAGGAATTTTCTCAGATATTTTTGATTAGCATAAATGTCACTGTATTTCGAAATAAAATTATTCATCTAAGATAATTTTCCTCCATTCGGCAGACTGTTGGAAAAAAAGCGTATTTTTGCTCTTTTTTTAAAACAAGGTTAAAAAAAATAATATATTGAAGAAATATTTCATCGATTCTCGTGCAGGTTGCTTTTTATTATGGTAGGACCCAAAAATAAGACGAGAAGAAATTTTTATTGATTTTTTGGCAAACATAAATGTCATTGTCTTGCACACTAAAATTATTTTTTAAGATCATTTTCTACCATTCTACAGACTATTGGAAAAAAAGTGTATTTTTGCAGTTCTTTTAACAAGGTTTAAAAAAAAAAACTAAAGATACATTTTATTGATTCTCCTTCGAGCTATGTCGCTCCATTTATTTCAAAAAATAAGAAAAAAATATACAAGTAATTTCTACTTGTACCTAAGTAGTAAACAAAATCAATTACAAAACTCTTCATTGTTAAGATGTTAATTCTTAACCACGATCTTCATTTTTCCAAAATTATTTTCATGATAATCCAAAAATAAAGAAAAATACATAACTTAATTTTCCCTTATACCTAAGTAGTAAACAAAATCAATTACAAAACACTTCATTAATAGGAAATTGATCAATTCTTACCCATGATCTCCATTTTTTGTAATAATCTTTCAGACGGTCAGTATTGTTCAATTCATCACATATGTCCGGTCTTGAGTCCAGCTGTAAGCATTTACCCGAAAATGTATGAATAAAGAAATTTAAGCAAAAACAAACTTTCAAAGCGTAACATATATATAGTTACTATATTGTTTTTGATAATAGTTAATGATTGTTTTTTTTTAAAATTTGATATTACTTTTCTCAGAAGATCTGAATATTTGAGAGACCACGTCTGTCTATGGATTTGATATAATCTAACCATGTTTTATAGACTGAGGGTCATTATTTGTTTTTTAGCTATTGTTTATAATTCTTTTTCGAGTTTTTATTGAAAAAAGCCAGATTCATAAGAATATTAATTTGAAATAAAAAATATTTTTGAGTTTGTAACACTTACTGGCTTTCGGATCTAGGATCGATTGCTTCTCTTTCGATTCTTTGTCGGTAAGTGATGTCATCAAAAGCTGCAGGTTTAATTCGACTTCTGTCGAGTTCGCTGTCAGGTGTAGATGGTGGTGTATAAGACTCGTCCGGTGGATAGATCATGCGGCTTGGATGTGTAAAGCAGGATTCCAAAGTTCGTCGACGGAAGAACCAACGGCATGCAGCGTTTGAATACTGTATGTAATATATTAATTATAATTATGCTGTTTATTACCTTTTATAAAACACATCTATCAAAAATTAAACTCTATCATGAAAATGATTGTACACTATCTACCAATATTTGGACACCTATGCAAATGACTATATCTGCGGTCCTGAGATAGGTCACGCCCTCCGCCGGTATACATCGTGTAGGGAACAACATCGGCATTAGTCCCATGCAAGATGCCTAATGCACTATTTTGGATGACAATGTGCTTCCTACGTTGTGGCAGTTTTACGGGGTGGACCCATGTTACTTCCAGGACGACCATGCCAGCTGTCATGTTGCGAGGGTCACCAAGGCTTGGTATGGTGCCAATGGGGTTAATCGAATGGACTGGCCTGCCCAGATCCCAGACCTGAACCCTATCAAGAATCTCTGGGACAAGTTGGATCCCCCAATTAAGGAGTGTACTACCCGTGCAAAATCGGTGAAGGAACTTACATGTCATCTCCAAGCCGAGTGGAAGAAAATACCACTAGCCGTCACACAAGGACTTGTGGAAAGTATGCCCCGGAGGGTTCACGCTGTAATTGCCTCTCGTGGAGTGCTCTACCAACTATTGATTATGAATAATGTTTGTTTTTCTTTTCAGTCACGCGTGTCCAAAAATTTATTGGTAGATAGNGCTCAGTTATATATACATATATATATATATATATATATATATATATGTATATATCATTTACCTCTTATAATTTTCAACTTCCTTTTAAAAAGTACGAAAACTACTTTGAAAATCGCTTGGAACATTTTAATTTTTTAAGATATTGATATCAGACATTTTTCATTCATTATTAAATACAATTCATTACAAAATTAAGAACTTGTTTAAAAATTTTTCATTTTTCCTGCACATGCGCAGTTTAAAAGAACTAGTTTAATTACTCTTATCTTGTGCAGTTTTTAAAAAATTTTTCTCAAACTTCAAAGCAAAAAGTTTATAATTAATTTTAAATTGATCTAAAAATTTGTTTAATTTTGCTGAATATTTTTAAAGTAATAGCAAAAAAACGTAAGACAAAAAAATTAGTTTTCTTTTATAATAATGTCCATATTTCAATAAATATTTAAGCTAGGCTTACGAAATTTTGTGTAATTATTGCATGCAATAATCAAAATATTTGCCACAAGTTACCAACCTATTGCTAAATTTTTGACATGGGGTCTTCAAAAACATTATTTTACGCTTGTAAATTATTGTAGGACCCTCAAATCTCTAAAAGCTTTAAACTTCATTGATATGTATGAGAAATCGCATGATCTAAACATTTATGAAGTTATAAAAATTTCGTTAAGTATTTCAGGAGAAATATAAAAAATGTATTAGTATAGAAGTGTTTCCATTATTTTGTCCACTCCCTGTATTTACACGCCATTTTTTTTAACAGTTATTATAAAATCTTGTTTTCAAGCATAGCTTGAAGAGTAAAAGTACTATTATTTTGCAAAATTGAAATTAAAACATATATTACATAATAAGAAATAATTTGTTTGCTTACCTCAAGCCATTTGTGCTTCAAGGCAGTATTGACATCCATACGTTTGCTATATGGTTTAAATGAAAAAAGTAAATTTAGAGCAAGATTTTGTGCAAATATCTAAGCCAAATTGTTATTCCATTAACAAAACAATTATTCTCTTAATGGTTAAGTTAAAAAACAATTCAGATTAAATAAATACATATACAATGTTATAGTAAAACTCTGGTCGATGTAGTCAATTTCTCTAAAAAGATATCAGAAAACTGTTGCTCGATAACTTCTCAATTTTTAAATCAGTGACAGTGAAATTTTTTTTTACAAAAAATGTCAGTTTATTGAATAAAAAATACCCCAAACGTAACGCAACTTAATTAGTCAACGACAATCGCATCAACAAAACCCTAAGAGAATATTTATTTTCTCTTAGTATATATCTCTTAGAATATCTCCATCGTTTTCTAAAGGTTAAGATTGAAATTGAGGTTTCTCTTTGGTCAAGTAGCATGTACTTGGGCAATTATTAGAAAAAAAAATTACAGCATTGAAGAATTTTATTTTTGGATATTTTATATTTTTTCAAATTTTATTATTATTGCGATTTACTATAACTGATTTTTTAATAAACTCCTTGAATTCGCTTTTTTATTTCATTTTATAATCGTCGTTGAACAGCCGACCTAATTTTGGGTTTACGACTACCAATATTCAACTCCGTAGCCTTGTAATTCTGAACACAATCCAGAAGAATAGGGAACTCCTGGATCAAGTGCGGGAAGAAATTTGCCTGCGTGGAGGACTTTTTGATGGAACTAACCCGCATTTGCGTTACACGAAAATCTCGAAAGCCTTCCACGGTTAGCCTGAAGGCAAGGGGACTCTAACCCATGATCCATCTATCACTGAGGATATTTTACGGCAGCACTGTGGTCAGTGCCAGCCGGATGCGGAATTCGAATTGACTAGTCATCGCTGCGATTCGAACCCGTTTACTCATTTGAAGGCAAGCCCTCTATCCTCTGAGCCACAACGGCTCTGAATTCGCTATTAAATAAATTTGCAATTCACTTTTTAGTGAAGTTTTAATTTACTATTATGTGAATTTAAAAAATATTAACTATCACCGTTACATTAGCGCGCACAACTTCGAATATATAATATTTGAAAGTCATAAAGGTTATATCCAAGTTATTTGTTATTGTGGAAATTAATATCAAAACAATTACATTATATATTATAATTAATTCCAAAATAACAATACTGTTCACACTGTAGTTAACAAAAAATTATGAATTCTTTTGAGTTGCAGTTAAATGGTACAATTGGTTAATTCAAGGAAACTATAATACTATACTCGCTCAAAGTCATTCAAACTGACTATCTCACCTGGGGTCCATTTGCAAGAGTTGCTGAACAAAGTCCCGGGCATCGTCTGAGAGCACAGCAAAACCATCGTGATAGAAGTCTGGTTTTCCCTGTTGAACTTCTTTCAATGTGGCTCGGTCATTTTCTCTCAAAAATGGCGAATCTCCAACCAATCTAAATCAAGCACATAAGTTGACTGTTATTATATGAGCTCTCTTGAAGAGAATTTTAAAACAAATAAATATTTTAATAACTAGGTTATCCTGTCTCCAAACAGTCAGTTCAATAGTGAAAAACTAGGTAGCGTAGTTAACTACTTGGCTGCAAACAATGGCATTGGGCATAAATTTTAAAATGGAATCGCACGCCAAGATTGGGTCAATGCTATTCTGTGCACAAGACCTGTTATAGTGCGTGAAATTTATGAATGTGCATAAAAAAGAACATAAATAATAAAATCTGTAGTTAAACCTTTGTAAGCACTTAAACCTAAATAAAACATAGAACAAACTTATTTTACATTTCCGCTATAGTTTTATGTGTATCCATAATTGATATCTATATCATCTCATGTTGCTTCAATTCTCTGAGTAGAGCTGGGTGATTCTGATCTAGGTGCGGGGCAGAATGGGACAAATGATAGAGTTTACTGTTTTTGGCGACAAAAGTATTGTTATTATGCCTCTTTCAAATTGAATTTTTGTGATAATTGAATTATTATGTGTTCATAGGAAGATCTACAGCTCTTCCAAATCATCTATTTGTAATATTTAAGTGTATTTTGAACTTAGAACCCAATTTTTCTTTCGACTCCCCAAAAATTTCACTGTTCGTCATAAAAATAGTGGTAGCTCGACAGGGGCAGAATTGTTTTTAATTGTGCACAAGAAACATGAGATTAAAGTAAGCATGTTTGACAGGATAAATTGAAAAAGTAATTATAAAAAAAACGTAATCAAGTTGAAATTAAAATACTTACAAAATGTAAGAAATTATGCCGACGCTCCTGAAAAAATTAAAAGGTACAGTTAAAAAAAATTTACACTCTATATATACAACAATCACTGTATTAAGGATGGAAGTATTTTAAGAACCCTCTTACCATTAAAGGGGATAGGGATTATACTTCTTTCATATTGACCAATAGAGAAATACGTGAGCACAATTTCTTTTTCTTTTTTTATCAAATCGCAAATATCTTAGAATACTTTTTGTTCCATTTTATTCAACGAAATTCGTTTCGCTTAATACTGATGTACTGTCATAATACTGAATTTTAATTTTCATGGCTTAAGTATTTTTTTCAAAAGTAATATGTCAGCCAATAAGCTTTAAAACAAGTTTTGAGCAAAAATTTATCCTATTTTTCGTAAAGTTTGCATTTAATTTAGAGCGAAATATGCATAAGAGATATTTGAAGAATATCTTTACTATAAATATACATAACAATTTACACAATTATGTATTACTTGAGCCACTATGGTAAGGCATTTTACTGCCATATTGAAGGACTGGGGTTTTATCCCCGTGACATATAAAAGCAAACATAAATTCGGATCAATGAGTGCCTGTATCCTTGGGAAACAAAAACGGTCGATGAGCATTATTGGTCAAATTGTCACCATCAAATTAATGTCGAGTCAAATGTAGAGCTTCACGAAATTGTGGAGCTTTAGCCACCATAATTCTATTGGACCACAATGTGCTGTTTCGGGAGTGCTTTACTTTTTTTTTAACTTCTTACATTGGTTCAATTTCATGTTAGTTAAATTCTAAACTCGAATGAATTTGAACTCTGATAAAAGACGTTTAGCAATGGCGCTGCTCTGTTTTCTGCATGAGTTTTAACAAATGGGTAGCGAATTCAATAGTAAAATTTGTAGAATAAGTATAACTAATCCCCACTCTTTAAAATAGTAACCAAGAGATAATTGCAATAAAGTTGCTTTTCATGTGATACTTCAAATTTCTTATATGTTTTGGTTGAAAATTACTTAAAATGAAAAAAAAAAAAATACTAAACTAACAAGTAATAAAATTTTTTTTTAAAGTCAATTCCTACTAAGGTCAACAAAGAAATTTTTATTTTAGTTATTTTATTTATTCCTAAATTTATAACCTAATAAATATCTTACATAAGAGAAATTTTTCTTTCGCCCATATGAAACTGAAATTAATTAATTAAATTTAATTGATGAATTAATGTTTGAAAAAACTGTATTAACATCAAGTGTCATCCACTGCAAGTTCAGAAAAAATGCATTTGAACTTGAGTGGATGAATAAAAAGTATTTTATTAAGGATTGAAAATTTGAGCTAGATATTCGTATATTCATATAGATAGGGAGAGTGTGAACTAATAGTAGGAATAGAAAAAATGACTTAAATTTTCTTACAACTGGAAAATACTTTTTTACAATGCTGGACAAGCGATTTTGAAAATTGTAATTAGCAATTCTGCAATTGTAACGTTTGAATTTGTGTTCATTCTTTGCAATGTTTCTAAAAATAAATTATTCTTTTCCTATGCTTTTATTACAAATCTCACAGCAGTGTGGAGTAGTGTAAAATAAAGAGAAGCTTAAATGAGTTAAACATAGCACTGATTTAATAAAAGTTAAATACACACCACATGTCGCATGCAAGAGAAACAGGCTGCTTGTTGGCGATTTCTGGAGCAACGAATTCCGGATGTCCATATTCTTGAATGAATTCTCTACCATGATGCAATCGAGTTGCCAAACTGAAATCCCCAATTTTGATGTTGTCACAGTTCAATCGAGTCAGCAGGATATCGCCAATCTAAGGTACAGTAAAAATTATCCGTTTTTGAAATCAATCTGAGATTAGTAGTAAAAATGGATCGTTTACCTATTGACNTTTTTATAAGTAAAACCTCTTTTCCGTCCCGCTTTCAGGCGCTACAACCGGCGTGAACGTGTTAAAACAAATTTTGAGCAAAAATTTATTTTATTTTTCATAAAATGTGCATTTAATTTAGAACGAAATATGTATAAGAGATATTTGAGATATATCTTTACTACAAATATATATAACAATTTACACAATTATGTATTACTTGAGCCACGATGGTAAGGCATTTTGCTGCCATATTGAAGGACTGGGGTTTTATCTCCGTGACATGTTAAAGCAAAGATAAATTCAGATCAATGAGTTCCTGTTTCCATTGGGAAACAAAAACGGTCGATGAGCATTATTGGCCAAATTGTCACCATCAAATTAATGTCGAGTCAAATGTAGAGCTTCACAAAATTGTGGAACTTTAGCCACCATAATTCTCTTGGACCACAATGTGTTGTTTCGGGAGTGCTTTACTTTTTTTTAACGTCTTACATAGGTTCAATTTCATGTTAGTTAAATTCTAAACTCGAATGAATTTGAACTCTGATAAAAGACGTTTAGCAATGGCGCTGCTCTGTTTTCTGCATAAGTTTTAACACATGGGTAGCGAATTCAATAGTAAAATTTGTAGAATAAGGATAATTAAAGCCCACTCTTGCTTCGAACTTTTTATATGTTTTGGTGGAAAAATTACTTAAAATGAAAAAAATACTAAACTAACAAGTAAAAAAAAAAATTTTAAAGTCAATTCCTACTGAGGTCACCAAAGAAAATTTTTATTTTAGTTATTTTATTTATTCCTAAATTTATAACCTGATAAATATCTTATATAAGAGAAATTTTTTTCCTCCCATATAAAACCGAAATTAATTAATTAAATTTAATTAATGAATTAATATTTGAAAAAACTGTATTAACAACAAGTGTCATCGACTGCAAGTTTAAAAAAATGTATTTGAACTTGAGTGGACGACTAAAAAATATTTTAATACGGATTGAAAATTTGAACAAGATATATGTTACTGCCAAAGTCCGAATTCGGCCACTTCGCGAAATGGCCGGCCAAATCACGAAATGGCTAAGAACGCTGTAAATTGGCTGGCCAATGTCCGATCTTTTCTTAATTTCGGGAATTGGCCGGCCAGATCGCGAAGTGGCATGGGAGGATCAGCGAAAGTTGGAAGAAAAAATCATTGGTACGTATTATGCGCCGCCTACCGGGCATTCTTGAATGAGCACATCACGTTTTGGCCGGAACATCGCGGCCACGAAATGGCCAGCCAAAGTAGAATATTCACCGATAGTTTCAATTGCATCGCACTTTGGCCGAGAGGTATGGCCAAAGTGCGAAATGGCTGGACTTCAGGCTTTGGCCGTAACATATATAGGGAGAGTGTGAAGTAATAGTAGGAATAGAAAAAATGACTTAAATTTTCTTACAACTAGAAAATACTTTTTTAACAATGCTGGACAAGCGAATTTGAAAATTATAATTAGCAATTCTGCAATTGTAACGTTTGAATTTGTGTTCATTCTTTGCAATGTTTCTAAAAATAAAATTATTCTTTTCCTATGCTTTTATTACAAATCTCACAGCAGTGTGGAGTAGTGTAAAATAAAGAGAAACTTAAATGAGTTAAACATAGCACTGATTTAATAAAAGTTAAATACACACCACATGTCACATGCAAGAGAAACAGGCTGCTTGTTGGCGATTTCTGGAGCAACGAATTCCGGATGTCCATATTCTTGAATGAATTCTCTACCATGGTGCAACCGAGTTGCCAAACTGAAATCCCCAATTTTGATGTTGTCACAGTTCAATCGAGTCAGCAGGATATCGCCAATCTAAGGTACAATAAAAAGTATCGGTTTTTGAAATCAATCTGAGATTATTAGTAAAAATGGATCGTTTACCTATTGACTTGTCGTTACCTACTGATCGGTTACCTACTGATGGATTGTTTACCTACTGATACTATCAAACTAATCACTCATAGCTGCCAAGTTATTTAAGACTGAATTTTTATGTTTAAATTGGTACCAAAGCATTCATAATTGATTTTTAGTTTAAAAAACAGTATTTAAAACAATTTTTACCACCATTACCATTAAATAAATTGACATAAAATATATCGCCAACAATAATTATTGCTTTTGACTATGGGGATTTCCTCCAATTTCTTGCCAAGTTTAGGACTTTAACTATGACCTATAATTATATGTCTATCCAGTAAAGCTGAATCGGTCAGTGGCGCTAGATTGTACAGATATCCAGCTGTATTATTGCTTTGATAATTTTCGGAATAACGTAAAGAGATGATTTCAAATCTATCACATGATTTAAGTTCATCTTCTACTTGTTTCTTTAACCTCTTCGAGACTGGCGAGTCATATATGCATTTCTAGGGTGTCGATAATCAAGGTAAAAAAAGATAAAACGGGTAGCCAAACTATTTTTATAGCAGTTTATTTGTGGGCGGGGTAATAATAGTTTGCTTGAATTAATTCACCACTGCTTAGTTCGAATTAAAAATTGTACAGTTACACTTTTAACACACAAGGATTGGATGTGTTTGATGTGAAAGCAAAAATAAGTCTGTCAAATTAGCTATGCCCAAACTTAAGCTACCCCTTTTTACTTTTTACTACCCTTCTTCTGATTTCGTACGAATACATTTATGACTTGCCCGTCCCGAAAAGGTTAATATAAAGTATCTAAGATTCACAGTATCTGTAGAGAATTTCATTCTAATATTGTTAAATTTGACTTCTTTAAAAAAATGGAAGATAAAATTTTAATAATTTATTATTTCTTAATCCTTTGCAATCCGAATACTTTATAATGCTGTTTGAACTGATGTAAGCAATATATCATTTAATATAAGTTGGTCACTAATTATAAGAGAATAAGAAATCTTAAATTTTAGAGTGGTGACTTCTAATGACGCATTAGAGGCGATATCGAAGTGCAAAGGGTTAACTAAATAAATTATAGTTAAATTATATTAAACTATAACTTATTTAGTTTAATTAAATTAAGCTATAACTTATTTAGTTAACCCTTTGCACTTCGATATCACCTTTGATGCGACATCAGTAGTCACCACTCTAAGATTTAAGATTTTTTATACTCTTATAATTAGTAACTAAATAAGGTATAGCTTAATTAAATTAAGCTATAACTTATTTAGTTAACCCTTTGCACTTCGATATCGCCTCTGATGCGACATTAGCAGTCACCACGTAAGTTTTTTATGCTTTTATAATTAGTAATCAACTTATTTTAAAAATTATGTAGAATTACTGTATCATGTATTTTAAATGATATAGTGAATCTTATGAAAATTAAATTAATTCTCATAGGACAGTGCGACCACTGATATTTGGTAAAGAGTTAAACTTACATTTTACATTATTTATATAATGTCGCTATAAAGTGGAGCTTATTTATAGGGAAAAAAATGGTTCTACATTTCAAATTAATTTTTATATTTTTAAAATAAGTGGTTTCAAACTAAGAGTATTGCAAAGAAAAATTTTATAATAATAATCGCGGGTCTAAATAAATAAAAAAATGACACTGCATATATTTACTTTGATTCAAATGAAAAATAACAATATCATTAGAAAATTCCTATTGGATAATAATATTCAAAAAATTGAAGTAGAACTTATTAAAAAACTGGAATAAAAACTAGTTAAGTTAAGGATTAACAATATTAAAAGTTTGGTCTATCAGTGACCTATTTTAAAAGTTCTGTTCTTACTTACATTTAATCCTAAGTGAGCAATGTCTTTCTCATGCATGTGTTTTAGTCCTTCGAGTATTTGTTTGATGTAATGAGCCACAATACTCTCTGTAAGATTCCCGTGATGGATAATACTTGGTAAAAGTTCACCACCACCACATCTAAACGCCATTATTAAGATATCTAACTTTGCAGAAAATTGTGAGTGAAATATTAANTTGAAGTTTGTAGCATTTAAGGAATTTATTTTATAAATAAAGAAAAATAAAAGTCAGTAAGTTCCTAATAGGTCATGTTAAATATATTTACCACCAAAAAAATGGCATTTTTATAAACTAAATGAGTTTCTTTTTTATATCAATTACTGTTCTTAAAAGAATTTCAATTCCAAAAATACTTTAATTTACCTTTACTAGAAATAAAAGGCCCATTAAAAGTTTAAATAAATTTAATTCAAATGTTTCAATTAATATTTTAGATTTCAGAAATATTTTTATCAACCTAGGCTCGTGTTAAAGATCCTTTTTGTTTGCGCGCAGAGAACTAAGAAAATGGATTTCGATTTGGGAGTTAAATGCCATCAGAAAATATAAGAATTTACTGTAAGTCTATAAATTAAGTCTATAAATATTTTTCACTTCATTAGCTGATACAGTCAGTACAATAGCACTTCAGTGCAATTTTAATATATTTTACAAAAGTCATTAAAACAATAGAGAGAGTCATACCGTCCAAGTTCGTCTCCGATATCATAGAAATCTTCAAACGGTCGATCACTGGGTTTTACAATGTGTGGTCGTTGATATGTAAGAAGATGATATTCATTTTCGCATTCTAAATAAATATTAATACAATTTAGAAGATGATTAAAAAATGAAGTCAGCTAATGGAATACATTTTGTAAATTATTTTACTCATAGTATAGGAATATAAACCTAACTTCTCCGGCTTCAGGCCAGGGGTAAAAGCGAGACGGAAAAGAGGAAAGGCTGGTAGTAAAACCATTTCAGTTATAACCAGTTTTCGGGAGGAGTTAACTTATTCTTAACTATTTAACAATATCTACTTTATCCTTAGAAAATAAGCAGTTTTATATATAGACTAAAATTATAAAAGAAATCTTGATAGTTACAGATATTTTATTTTTCTAAAAAAAATTGCTAGAATGAAATGTCTTTCGTACCAGTTTTTGCACTTTTCCGTCTTGCTATATAAGTGCTTTCAGGAATGCTTCAGGCCGGTGATTTTTTAGAAATTAAATTATAACAAATTATGAAATTCAACATTTGAATTAAAATGATTCTACGATGCATGAAAGACACGATGTAATTGCTTTGGTACGTTTTAGGTGCAGGCAAAATTCGAAGCATATTTTCATACCTAATTGTAATTTTAATTCCGCTATAAATGTTGCGGAGTGCTATAACTTACAGTTTGGCAGTTTTGTGATAAAGTGGAAGGGGAATTTTTTCTGATGAAATATATCAGCTTAACTGATAACGTTAACGTTTTTCTTCTAAAGACTTTTTCTAGAGGTAGCAAATACTATGTTTCAAAATTTGAATATTAGTTAATAAAAGATACAATACAAAACTGTTGCTTAAAAAGTTCTAGCAGTTAAAGGACCATTTGTCTAAAAAAGAAAATCTTCAGTTTATATGTAGGCTTGTAAAAAATTACCAACTCTTTTAACACGTTGAATGCCACGCTAATTTCACATGGCTTGCCCATCTGGTCAAACGGTAAATAACTACAAACTAAATTTGCAAATATTAGACAGATATTGATAGTTTTTAAGAGGTTTAGCATGTCATGTCTGATTAAAGTGGTGAATTATATAAGCCTACTAATTGTTCAGAAATAGTAGTGAATAAAAATCTACTAAATTAAATTAATTGAGCTAAGAATCACGATTTATAAACTACCACTTGAAAACATTTATTAGCTGTCTGGAGCAAGTTGGCATCTCTGTGCATACAAATAAAACTATTTTTGCGAGTTCTATATTGCATTAATTTCTTCAAACCATTTTAGTAACGATAATAATATGAAAAATTTTAAAATTTACTCTAATTATGTGTTTATGTTAATTTTGGCTTCGCCCGTCACCGATGACCCCCATGGAGCTACGAACAAACTCTGTGCCGGCCACCGGTGACCCCCATAGCATTCAACGTGTTAAATATTCCAAGAAAAAAATCGAATCTAATACCATTTCAAAATAGTTCATTTAAAATAGTTCTCATCTTGGTCTCTCAGAGAACGAGATCTAAAACACATAACCATGATAGGATTAGAGAAATATAAAGTACCTTTTCGAATCTTCGTTGAAACCGTTTTAAGTTGGGTAATTTATATGAAAAATATTTTACTAAAAAAAGAAAAACTCTCTCTACTATGTGAATGGGGACGAACTGTCTAAAAATAGTTTTATACACTGATGTCCTGCTAGAACAACTTCAAAATCAACTAAAAATTTTTTGTTTCGTTTTAAAAGTATCATATTATGTTAGCAGGAGTTGTTCAAATACTGCGGAAGAACCTAATGGGTTTTAAAATTCGCTTATTTTTATTGATAACGGAAGAGGGGAATTAGACCTTTTATCAGAAATGTTCATACTTCTCTCACCTTATATGAATTGCAAAAACAGTTGAATTCTGATATAAAAACTTTTGGAAGCAAAGAGGGTTGTGTTTGCTATTTGCTTTCTCTTGCGAAAATAAAATGTGCTTAGGTAATATTTGTTCTGTTTATTATCTAACATACGATAACTCTCTAAAGAGTGACACTTAACACTAGGCTTACGGGACGCGTCATTTTGACGCATTTCGAATTCTATAAGGAAAATTACAAAACCAGTTTGCATTTTTATTTTATCTCTTGTAATGAATTTTATCCATTGATCCAGGTAAATATATATTGAAGTCTATTTTCTTGAAAAGAGTTGAAATATTGAAATTCTCTTTGTGGTATATCAATCTCGACGGATATGCGTCAATTTGACGCAATCATAATTTAGACAAAATTATGAGTAAACATGCAAACATCAATCAATAATAAATAGGAATGTACCAACAATACTCCGATCCGTTATCTCAAGTGAAACAAGCGATAAACAACTGTTGCCGATAAGCAATAATAGAAAGAACAAACACAGAATGTCAATTGATATCAGATTTTGAAGGATTCAGTTGCTTAGTTCGAGTATTGAAAAATAAAATACTAGAATATTTCATAAATATATATCTCATATTTTTCCTTGTAGTATATAATTTCTTAGTGCAAAGATACCAACTGCTCCGGACAAGCCAAAATAATTAAAAAGAACGTCAAGTAGCTAGTAAGAAAATTTTGCAATTATATTGTGGTGAATTACATAAGTCTACGAATTATTTAGAAATAGTGGTGGATAAAAATCTACTAAATTGAATTTATTAAATCAAGAATCGCAATTGATAAACTACCACTACGATTGGCTGTTGAGGGAATATGAATAGTATTTGAAACATTTCCGATGGTTAGTTTCCAATATCGCTATCGAAGAGTGTTATTTTTAGTCAACAAATGCGATTGAATTCTTTGTTACATCTTATATATATTCTTTTTTCTTTCTTCTTAAAATTATCTTCAGAGTGTAACAATTCGAAATGCATAATATACTTACGCATTAGATATGATTTGGTATTATTCCAAATTCGAGCACCTTTTCTAGATCTCACAGGTTTTTTAATGCCTCCATTATTCAAATAACACTGTGGTGCTTTTGAGTTTTGCAATTTTTTCCAAATTCGAAATGATTTATTCAGTATTCTAATGATTACATAAATGCAGGTGTGAATTGACTCTAATAATTATGAACAACATAGTAATTATTTTCTTCTAATCTAAATTTTACTGTAAAACGTGAGTCTCGCATTGGACACCTTTCCCCTATTTGCCTGAAAAAAGATTAACACAATGAATATTGCTCAACAATTCTTCACTTACCTTCTACACTAAGCATCGCTGATGTTGTAGAGGTTCCAGCAACATTTGTGGCTGTGCACGTGTATAGACCACCATCTTTTAAAATAGCATCACTGAGGGTTAAAATGCAGGTGTCTGGTTCTTCCCATTTAATGTGTATTCTGCTGGACTCACTGAGGGGGTGCCAGTCTTTGAACCATTTAATTTTAGGATATGGCACGCCGATGGCCTTGCACCGGAATTCTCCACCTTTGCGAATCATTATAGTGGTTGGGTCTAACCTCTTGGTGAAAATAGGATGTTCTTAAATAAAGAAAACAAGAATTAGTTAAGTTATATTGTATTTAGTTTCAAATTTTATTGATTAAAAATTATTAATTTATCTTGAATTGTTCAAAAAATTAGTGAAAAAATAGCATTAAAATGTAAACTTCCAAAAAATTGTGCTGGGAAAATGATGGAAGGTTCTCTTGAATATAAAAATTAACATTAGAATTACACACATTAATTTTCTTTTATGTTACAGCGTTGAAAAACTCTTTATGAAATCCAGCTGAATCATCACCTGCTACGTCAAAAAGCCTTCACACGGTCTTTTGTAAGTAATCCGAGGAGAATATTTAAACAGTGAACCAGTTGTGCGCATAACCTTCTATAAAAGTAATTGAGAGAAATTCATCATATTGTCACGTAGAATAAATAGGACTTAGTCTATAAAGTACGAGAGCTTTATTCAACACCTACAAAGTAACGTGAACAAAGTAACTGGGGCCTCGGCTTGAGACACTCAGTCTTTTATAGGAATAATAACAGGAAGTGATAGGAACAGGAAATGATATGCTAGAACATTCTAGAAACTTCTAGAAGAAACATAAATAATAAATAAAAGCTTATTTTGGAGTTTTATATTTTCTTACAGTTCTGCGGATCGAACCCTGAATCTCAGTCTTTCCAGGACGACGACTCTGACCTCTCGGCCACACTGACACGTCAATATATATTTGAGAATTGAATCTGTAGTGGTTGACAAGTGAATAAGGCAAACCAATAATATTCATAAATAAAACAAACATACCTGCCAACTCTTCCGGATTTTCCGGAAGATTTTATTTTCATATTTAAAGTGGTAGTAATTATATACTATTTTTTCTTTTATAATCTTAGTTTTTAGATGATATTGATCACCACTATTCTTACAAAAATTAAGCACATATATTATTATGCGTTACTATCATGGTAGTCAACTTAAGTTTTCACAAATACAACGTATTTGTTTGCTTAAAATTGAAGTTTTAATTCCATTTTAATACCACTGGGAAAAATGATAATGGAAAGGATTAAAAGTTGGCAGGTATGAACAAATATTTAGTCATATATTTGTTACCACTTTCTTATTTTAACTAGATTTTGTATTAAGTGACTCGTTCGGAAAGTGGATATCCTTCACAGTGGTCTGATCGGACTACCTATAAAAAACCGTGTGGAGGCTTTCAGTTATACGAAGCGTTGGCTGAATGCGATCGGACCATGTCAGTTCATAACGTTTTTAGTCTTATTTATGAGCAGTGAGTTCTCCGGTCTATGAGCTTTTACACTAGTTTATGTGACCTGTCATACACCGTTCGTAACGCTGAATTGGTTAACCCCTTAAAGCACAGATTTTTTGAAAAAGAAACCGGCAAAAAAAAAAAATTCAATTTTTTTTAATGTAAAAAAAAACACACTTTAGAACACTGTTTTTTCTTTTGGTGGACAATTTTGATACACTGTTTTTCCTGTTTAGAGCTCTCGAATTAACTCGAGCGCACAAGTTAAGGGGTTAAATTCATGAAAGTAAGCAGCGGAAAAAAGTTAGTAATAACGTGTAAGTTTGGTGCTGTATAATAGCCTCTAATTATTGAGCAGTTAAAATTTACGTATAAACCAATCAAAAATAATGAATGGGAAAAAACTAATTTATATAAATTTGGGACTTCCTCTTTTTTGCAGAGGTTACACAGTGATGATGAATTCAGTAAAAAAATGTCCCATCTTTAATATTTATAGACAGTAAAAGTCAGTATGATTGATATAATTGTTTGTTTACCTGCGATCATGAGTTGTATTTTTCTTTGTGCTTCTCCGTGTTCATTTTCTGCTTTGCAAGTATATGTTCCAATATCATCATCTCCCATTCTCGTGATGAAAAGAATAACTTGACCATTTCGGTCTTCAAGAAAATCATATTTTCCAGATTCGACCTGAAAACAGATTTAAAAGAAATATTTTCGCAAAAAGTACACAAGTACATGCATCATGATTAAAATAAAATAGATTTAAATTCTATGGAAAAAAGCAGATGCACAATTACTCTACATTTTACGATTTTACAATTACTCTTTATTAACGATAGTGAAGCTTCTTTTTAATAGAAAGTAAACTTGAATTGATTTTAAGATCTATCCTTTTTGTGAAAAAGACAGAACGTGAATAAATCACAAAAACAGGCATGCTATAGTTTCGGTTCAATTCCTCAGTGACGAAACACAGAATAACAGAAGAAAACACACGACAAACAAGTTACAACAAGAAAGAAGGAATTCAATCCTTTGCGAGGCAAAAATATTTGAACCAAATTTAAGTCAAGAATAGCCAAAAGAATAGTTTTCCTCGCATGAGTGCACCAAAGGATGAGATCTGCTTTAGCTTTGTATTTTTCACAATTTAAATTGATTGGTTAAACACCACATAGATTACGGGATAAACACTATTAAATTCTTTCTGAAATTCTTGTATCATTCATATGAATGGCAATTAACTTATTCATGACAACAGTTTCTTACCTCATCTCTGCAAGGTACGGAAATGTATCAAGTCCCGAATTCGCCACCGTGATTTTTTCTTGTTTTTCATCTTTTTTTCTTTTCAATTCTTTTTGTTGGTAAAGTTGCATTTTCTTTTTTCAAATGTGCTTTGTGTTCAACATTCCCGCGTTAACGGGACTTGATAATGGACGCCTGTTTCATACGCTCAATACATGTCGAATTATGAAATAATTATGAAACTAATCAAGCTTTCCATTGGCAAATTTATCTTTCCGTTTAATTTTTTTCTTAATGCTAATTTCCTACTCTGTGTTTTTACATGCGAGCCGAGGTTGCCCAATGATTAGAGAATTGTTGCATTAGTTTCTTGACGGATCTTAGATATTTTCTCGTCGCTGATTTTATACAATTCAATAATATATTCTAAACCAGAATTTTTTAAAATTCACTTGAGTGAATAGTAAATGTCACCACTTCTCTGTTGCGTAAGTGATAGGTAAAATGCGATAATGCATTTCAGTTTGAGATGCAATACGCTAATGTCACATATTTTTTGTCTTGAGCGACTTTTTCAAAGAAGTAGACAAGTGTATATAGATTTATATAAACCTATACGTCCATTATAAACGTAAACAAACAAAAAATAAACTAAACTAAAAATATCATTTTGATATCTTTCCTAACTAAACTAATTTAAGATTTGAAATCCCCACAGCTAAACAAGATTAGATATCTGCTTGTATATATGAAACAAGAAATTTAACTCTCTAGTGTTATTGTTCCAAATATGGATTTATACTTACTGGAGCATTGTTGAAATACCACGTGATTTTCGGTTGTGGACAACCGTAGACCCAAAATTCTATTCTAGCTGGGTGACCACGAACAGCATAAGTAGAATCCTCTTCAGTTCGTAAAAATCTTGGTGCAGCAGCTGAAAATGAAAGTTTACAATATAAGGTACTATAATATCTTAAAAACAGATGGGACGATGTGAAAAGTGTAATTAAAAGAGAAAAAGATTGGATCTTGTGCTTAAAATAAGTGGATATTCTCTAGTATTAGTTACACTTCCATCTCAGATTTTCAAAAATTCGCATTCACATGTTGTTTTTTTAATGAAAAATAAAGATATTTATGTTATTAACCATTTGGACACCAATGTAACTTAATTATTTTATTCATAGCACGTATTTTTCAAAATTCTAAATTTCAAATGAATTTTTCATAATTCGGCAAAATTGTTTTTTTTCTGATGCTCTAATTACAAGCAAAAATACATTTTGGTATTTTTTAATTACAAAAAAAAAACAGTCTATAAATTACTAAAGAAAACTGTTAGATGCTCTCAACTGCATTTGTTCTGAAATATCAAATCCCAAAAAAAAGTATTTTGAAAATTTTTTTTGTTTTCCTTCATATTCAAAAACTTTGCAAATCAAAACTTTTCAAAACCTTGAACTTTCGCTAACCATTCAAAAACTTTTGCAAATTAAAGAAACTTTAAAGATGAATAACCGTTTCTCTTAGATCTCTAAGTTAATCCAAAATGATGAAAAAAACATGAAATATATGTTTAATAAAAATTTTGCTCAAAGGGTTAATGATCTTGTTTCTATACCATATTTTTTAATTATTTAGAAATCATTAATTATTTTTACTTCCTACTGTAAATTAAGTATTATTATTATTATCATAATTTAGCATTATTACCTATAATAATTTAGTATTATTACCTAGAGGTAATAATAACTTAGTACCAAAACGCATATAGTTCTTTTATTAATTTATAATTTGCGCTATTTCAGTGTTGTTTTTAATTTAATTAAATTTTATCATAAGGGATTACTCTCGTTATTTTATNCATAATTTAGCATTGTTACCTATAATAATTTAGTATTGTTACCTATAATAATTTAGCATTATTACCTAGAGGTAATAATAATTTAGTACCAAAACGCATATAGTTCTTTTATTAATTTATAATTTGCGCTATTTCAGTGTTGTTTTTAATTTAATTAAATTTTATCATAAGGGATTAGTCTCTTTATTTTAGGAGAAATTGTTTAGTTCCGAAATATTTAAACATTTCGAAACTAAACAATCAAATAGGAAGACATTTACATTTTTAACTTAACCCTTTATGGGGCAAGATTTTTATGAGAATATGAAACTGAAATATTTTGATATTAAGATTTATCGTTTAAGTTTTGGTATTTCATTTTATATTATAACCGTCGTTGAAAAACAGATCCAATTTTTGAGTTAAAACTGCCAATGCTCAACTCCGTAGCCTTGTAATTTCTAACCCAATCCAGAAGAAAAGGGAACGCCTGGGTCAAGAACTGGGAGAAATTTTGTCGTCGTGGAGGAATTTTTGAGGGAATTAACCCGCATCTGCGTTACATCGATAAAAAAACCACGAAAACCTTCCGCGGTTAGCCTGACGGCAAAGGAACTCTAACCCATGATGCGTCTACCACTGAAGATAGTTTACGTTCAGTACTGTGTCGGTGCGAGCCGGGTGTGGAACTCGTATCGACCAGTTATCGCTGAGATTCTAACAAGTTATTTAACCCCTTGGGGACGGGTGATTCAGAAAAGCATTCAAATCAGAATCAAGTTGTAATTAAATAAAAAACGGTAATTTAAATGTAGTCGTTTCTAATTTGACAGACTTACTTTGCTTTTACTTTAATTATTGTTAGTTTAATCATATATATTATCAATGTTAATTCAAAGTATAACTGAATAGTTTTATTTTAAACAAAGTAAGTCTGTCAAATTTAAATCAAACAAT